GTCTGTGGGCACTGCCTGTGCCCATGGATCCATGCGCTGGGGCAGCCCCTGCCCTGTCCTGCAAACCTTCAGGTACCATTTGAGTGAATGATTGTTACTGCTTAGCTGGCAGTCCTCAGGGTAATTAGCATGGCCTGAAATGAGCCTAATTAGTCTCAGCTGCAGAGCTGGTTAATTTGATGGAAACCAATCCAGCCTCGTGTGATGGCGGTGCTCCCACTCCCACTGACCCCTGTGGGTGCCAGATCGGGGCAAACCCCTCAACTGTAATGAGTAGGATGCAATTCCCTTTCCTGCAGCGCAGCTGGAGCCCAACGGGGTGGGGGGGAAGTCTCCCCCACCTCTCTGGCAAACGGGGCTTTACCTTAGGCTGCAGCAGCTGTTTGGCATCCCGTGTGGGGTCAATAAAATAAAGGTCTGGCGCATGCTGGCATGTGCTGTGGGCTGGGCAGCAATGGTGTAGTCGGAGGGGTTAAAATTCCCCGAAAAATTGCATAGGGAAAGTTCCTTCTGCTTTTTGCACTGTCCCATCCCTCCTGGCTCCTGTGATTGCCTTTCTTCTCCCATCACCGGTGCTGTACTGGCTCAGCAGGGTTGTTAGCCAAGGCGGAGAGCACCGGCTGCAGCGTGTCTGTCATGTCCCGGCTCAGCCCCACGTTGTCCCTGCAGGTGATCAAGCAGCTGATGAGGAAGGAATGCACCCTGGAGTTCTCCCGCGACCGCAAGTCCATGTCGGTGTACTGCACGCCCACCAGCCCTGGCCACAACTCCGCCGGCAGCAAGATGTTTGTCAAGGTAGGGGAGAAAGTCCTCAGCACCCTGCAGGATCCTCCTTCCCCATGCACACCCCAGCAGGATTTGGCCCTTACTGCAGCGGGCAGTGATGCTTTGCAGTTTGTCTCCTCCCTTAGCTGTCCAGGGGTCCAGGAGCCAGCAGGTAGACTGGTGTGGTCAGGGAGGAGGCGAGATTTTGCAGTATTGACAAGAAAAGAAGGCGGTAAAATGATTTAGAGGGAGGAAAAGGCACTGAGTGTGCTGGTGCTGGGGCCAGGGGAGAGCTGCCCCTGTGCAAAACTGGGACACTTGCTTTTATTAAAGGCTTGGACCCTCCGGACACCAGTAATGCCCAAAGGGCATTGTACAGCTTTCCACTGTAACCAGAAAGAAAATAGTGTTTTAAAGGGCATTTTCTTCCCAAGAGAAGATGCGGAATTTCCCCCCGCTGACTCCAAGAAGATTTGTGTATTGTTGTTCCCGCCGGGAGATCTTATTGGGTGGGTGAACTCTGTCTTCCAGGTCAGGTTGGGACCCTCTGGAGCCACCGCATCTGTGGCCCTGCCAGTCCTGGGCAAGCTTTTTTAAGAGGAGCAATAGAAGGATTGCAAGTTTTATATTAGAGAGCAATGTCAAGGGTCCTTTGTAAGGTCAGAAGGGACGGGGTGAGATGCTGTGATGCTAAAGGACATGTTTTCCTGAATCGCAAAGGTATCGCAAGCATCTGCTGAGCATCCCGCAGGCAGCGCGTTTTTTCAGCAGAGACTTAAAGGCCCTAATCCCCTCCAGGTCTGAGAGGGGATCCGTGGGGCGGGAGTATCCCGTGCAGACGTGTAGGTTTTGCAGGAGTCAGACGGATCCCCGACGGAGCAGATCCTGCCGTCTGGTGACCTGACGCGGGTTCGTCCTTCCCGGCTGCGTTCCCCGTGTGCTCGGTTGGAGGCTGCCATCTAGTGCGCTGAGCCGCCGTGCCAGGATGTGTGTGCTGGAGTTTTGGGGAGATTGCCTTCTCCCTTGCCCAAACTGGGTGCCTTCCCTCTCTCCGGCACTTCCTTTGGTGCTGGCAAGAGATGCTCATCCTCCAGGTTCATTCCAGCCCCTAAGCCCTCCGTTCCTCCCCAGGGTGCTCCAGAAAGTGTGATTGAGCGCTGCACCCACATCCGTGTGGGCACTGCCAGAGTCCCGCTGACGGCCCCGGTGCGAGAGAAGATCCTGGCCAGGATCCGGGACTGGGGCATGGGCATTGACACGCTGCGCTGCCTGGCCCTGGCCACCCACGATGCGCCTGTCCGCAGGGAGACCATGCAGCTGCATGACTCTGCTGCCTTCATCCACTACGAGGTATGGCACCGGGGGCTTTCTCCTGGACCTTTTTTTCTTTATTCTTGAAGTTTTCCCACCCACTTCCAGCTGTTCCAGCAGTATTTTCTCTCTGGTTTCTCCATGGGCACCAGGCAATGCAATGGCTCAATCCCTCCTCTGCAAACCCTGGGGCAGAGCTGCATGCAGCAGGGCCGGTCCTGAGGCCAACAGCCCAGTCCTGCTGGGCATCCATCCCCGTGGGGTGACCGCTGAGAGCGGCCTGGGGACTACCAAGAGGGACGGGGAGGAGGGGAGCGAAGCAAAAAGATGTGAGGAGCAGCAGAGGGGACGGGAGCATCCCATTGCATGGGGGCTATAGGGTGCATCCATGGGGCTGTTGGTAGGAAACCTCCCGAAAGTTTCCTCCCAGGGGAAATCCCTGTGCCCAGCGTGGTTTCACAGCAGGGAGGGAAGTGGCTGCATCCCCAGGGGTTAATGTGGGTCCGGGGCTGTCCCCCCCCCAGACCAACCTGACCTTCGTGGGCTGCGTGGGGATGCTGGACCCTCCCCGCAAGGAGGTCACCTCCTCCATTGAGATGTGCCGCAAGGCCGGCATCCGCGTCATCATGATCACTGGCGACAACAAGGGCACGGCGGTGGCCATCTGCCGCAGGATCGGCATCTTCTCGGAGAGCGAGGATGTGGCTGGCAAAGCCTACACGGGCCGGGAGTTTGATGAGCTGCCCCCCGAGGAGCAGCGGCAGGCGTGCCGTGACGCACG